CATTATAGGCATAGGATTTTGTTTAAACAATTCATTCAGTACAGCATGTTCACAAATAAGCTCACGGGTTCATCTACAGTGTTAGTACCAAAGCATATTCTTTGGAATCATTGTCTTCTTTTAGTACCTTGTCTATTTTAATTATACAGTATTTATATTCTAACAACTTTTGGAATATCAGATGTGGATCGTCACTGTAAATTTAAAAAGATGAGCTTTTCATTTTAATTATCACAAACCATATCCTAACTCAATTTCAGTGAATTGTTAATTCTGTCCACTAAGCTTCTATCAACATAATTTTTTTAAATAATAAAACAGTGTATACTGTAATCAATATTGGTGTGGGTGATAATACAGTATGACACAAACAATCCCTTTTTTAAACTGTTCATATTTTTATAGTTCTGCAAAAACAATGATTAATGGAATATCCTGTTTCTTTCACACTTTCATGAAATTAGTAGCTTTTAAGAAAAATAAATATAACCTTATAAATATGTACTCAGTAGTATGCGCCACTGATTTCAACCTTGTTTAAAAGTTATGTTTCTTTGTGCTGCCCCAATTTTTAGAAATGCCTTATAGAGTGCTGATTTGCTCTGCCAGCACAAGACCATTGCTGCACTCTTATATATAATCCTCAAACCTTTAGTCAAATATTGTGATTTTATTAACGTCTCAGTTAAAAACTACTTTACATATATTTTATGATATTCAGTATTATGCTTTCCATATTTCCTTCCCTGTGCCTTTATTTTCTTATGTAAAAAAATCCAGAATATTTTATACAAAGATAATTGGATCAAGGATATACACAATACTGAATATTGTTATAACATTTACAAAGTAGACAGTCTTCACAGAAACTTATTCGTTTGTTCTCATTGATCTATCACTGTTAATTTTGATCATAATATTCCATCTTCTGCCACACAATTCAGTATTGCAGCTCATGGGCAAGATTGGACATTTATCCCCTGTGACTGTAATAGCTACATAACAGGCAGAAATTTAACAGATGTAGTTTTTCTTATCAGAATGCTGCACCTGTTTAATTTTTGCATGCTAGGTAACTGTTAAAAACACTAAAGGCTCTGCCAGCCACAAACTAGTATTCTTTGGCAAGATAGGGAGAGATTTATTTTCAGAAAAGCAGTAATTCTCTGGAAATTCATAAGATCCATATCCTGCATTACTTATTGTTACAATGGACAATACTGTATTTAGCAGTTGTCCTTTTTAATTTTTCATTGAGTTTTAAGTGTTATAGATTTTTTTTAATTATAAAAACAGAACATGTATTTTCCTTGTAGCTATTAATTCATGTTGACTTCTGAAAATATGCTAATAGTATTTGACATTTCTATTCGGCTTGTTTGCTTTGCAAAAATGGCAGATTTTCTACCAGTTCTTTGCATTTTAAAGGTTTTTTGATGCTGCATAATAATAACTTCTCAGTATATTGTGAGGGTACATTCTAATCTCGAAACCAAAGTATTTAATCTTTAGAACAACAGTGGAGAAGAGATTCCCTCAATGTAGTTGTCCCTCACCATTGGCAGTGGGGGCAAGGGCTGCTACAAGTTGCAATCCAGCAATGGCTGTAGGGCCAATGATTACCCGCCCCTGCTTCAAAACGATATATTTCAAGGTGTGCAACTAGTCAAATTTCTGCCAAACACAGTGACAGAAGATTAAAAAAAGGGCAAGGCTCCTGTACGTCTAACTACTGTAAGGAAAATTCTACATGACAAGCTCATTTGAGGAAGTCCTTTCTTTTACACAGTTATTTAAAGTGCAAACGCATGTGTAAAAAGTTTCTTCTAGTTGGATATCCTAGCCAAAGCCAAGACAAAACCCCCCACAAAAAATCTATTCTCCGCTTATCTATTGTGCAGATCTATGAATCCTTATTTGCCAGTATTAACAAGAATTATTGTCTTTGTTGTATTACAGTCATTTGTGTTCCTTGGTGTATCCTACAATTAATTTTCTAATTTGCTTCTCATCTGAATAATTACTACTTCTTACTGAGATACTGAAATATGCTTTAGCCAGCTCGGAATAAGTGTTGTCCTTTTCATGTTGTTGCATTTAATATGGCAGCCTTGCAAGGGTTCATTTAACAGGACTAGGGAGACAGTTATTAAAATCAATGATGTAATTACTGAATGAATTCCATAATTTAGGTTGCTGGATGTGAATGAGAATAGACACTAGTTCTACAACTAGATTCAAACTCTGTGACTTGTACATCCAGTAATGAATAAGTAATGAGGGTGATTCTGTTGCCAGTCCATTGTTTGCAGTGATGGTCCAGTGTATAAATATATGGAGTTGGGAAATACAGATAAAAGAGTGGTTAGAATTTTATTTGTAGACTGCAGCCAAGAATTGAATTGTTTATGGGACTGGATTCAAAGTGCCTTCTGTAAGTGAAACATATCTCACCTCATGAGGAGTTCCTCCCATATTCTGCCCATCTCCTCCTCCTGCTACAACCCTCTCTGCTTCATTCCACATTATTCTGGAGGGTCCCTTGACCCTCAAGCATGGATTTGCAATGGGCACAATGCAAATGCCAGTGTGGGAAGCTTCTTGCCCTCACCATACATTACAACTTTTTAACCTGCTCATTAAACAAAAAAAGTAACCAAGCAAACAATTTAAATTTGTTCCGTGGTGGCTGACATAATAAGAAATGTATTGTTTTGTAAGGAAAGTGGAAAAAGCAGTAGTCACCAACAATTTTACTGCATTCTGGGATTGTTAATAAAATTGCACTGCAGAGTGAGATTCCTGATTGAAATTCCATTTCTTCTGCAGTTCTTGTTACCAATGATGAGATACATTTGCAACAAGAGCACTGCCTCTTCTCCTGAATGCTCAGCACAAAATGAAATCTCTTTCCCCTGAGCTGTTGTTGCAATACAGAGGATTTGCAACAGGGAAAGCCTCTCACTATATTATGAATACGTCAGGGGTGGGGACTCGAATTGCCGGAATCACTGTCAAGTCACACCAGTGACTCAACTAAGACTTGAACTGGTGGATTTTTTTTCAATGACTTGGACTTGACGGAATCCACTCGCCCCTCCTTTTTTTCTGGGGGGGAAGCTTGTTTTTAATAGGGAGTCAGACTTGGAGCTTGGGACCAAAGTCTCGCCAACATCCCTGGAATACGTATATTATGAATATGGAATGGCAGTAACAAGCATAATAGTACTTAGCACTATTGTGGCACAAAATATGTAATGATTGCCTGCTGCTGGAAGAGAGAAAGCCTGTTCTTTGGCTTTGGAAATTCTCCATTGAAGTACAATTACACAGAAGTAAATGGAGTAATAAAAATTACTAGTTATGTTATGTGCCGCCAAGCTGGAACTAAAAGTGACTCTAATAGGGCCTTCAAGGTAGGTGAAATATTTAAGGAACGGTTTCACATTATGTACTCCCAATAAGTGTCCATGGTTAGCCAGGTACTCAAACTGAGGATTCCTGTGTCATAGTCTCTTGAGTCACCTAATCAATTAATCATTATCATCATCTTAGAACTGCAGAACTGGAAGGGACCCTATGGATCATCAAGTCTAGCCCCTGTCAGGCACCTAAATCACTAAGCTATTCAGCAATTAATCCTCATGCTAAAAGATAAACAACAACAACAACAACAACAACAACAACAACAACAACAACAACAACAACAACAACAACAAAACAGATATACACACACCCCATTATGTGAGTTGTGGGGTATTTTCAGCCTGCAATTAAAATCCCAAAATACTATTGGTTAGAAAAATGTACTACATCTGAATGAATGACTTTGTGTGCAGGAAAGAAAACATGTTCCAGAGTCAGAAAACACAGTGTGAAACCAAAATAAAATAAATTTAGGTTTTAAAAGTTGTACATTTCTTACATTGTGGGTTGCTTCCTGACTCTAGCTGATTCCAAAGGGAGAAATTCTGATTCCGTCCAATCAAGGCCAGTCTATTGACAATCACAGTTTTGTCATTTTTGCTTTGCAACATTATGTTTGTCTTAGAAGTGACAAGGCACATGTCTTGTCTCAATAAATTGAATTGCCTGGAATAAAAGATATTCCAATGCTCTCCTGGCCCATAAACTCAGAACAGATTTGGTGGAGCATTTTCCGACCTGCCCGTTTTGACGTTGTCGGTGTCAAAAAAAGGAAAATCTGTATGTGGCAAGTGCCTGGCATTTGGAAACAGTCTTTACAAATGTGCAGCTGACAGTGTCAAAGAATGCCTACAAAATGCTCCACTCTTATTGCATAAGAATTTAATAAGTACAATAGTTTCTTATGTGACCAGCCATAATTGAGAGGTGACCTTTTACTGTTTTGCGGTTCAGTTTGAACAGAGGTGGGAACTGTGCACACAGCCTACCAAGGACATCCTTGTGGTCCTTAAGAGTTTCCCAAGAACAAAATATCCTGAGCTGGCCCTTCCTTGTTGTCATACCTAATAACAGTCTATTACCTTATTGTTATATGGGCTGGCACCACAAGAACAGTGTCCCATCTGTTAAAGAGTGCACAGTCTGAATAATGTTCATCTCACCCTGGCCCTCCAAATACAATGCTAAGTGAGCAACACTTATCCACCTATATCCATCTCTATATGTACAGTACATACACATGTACGGTATATAAACATATAATGAAAACTAAAAAGCACCACAAAGGTTTTTCTGTATCCATTTTAGGGATGTAGTTAATTGCTAAAATACATATCCAGATATAAGAGTGCCTGACAAACAACTGTTTAAGCAGAACATGCGTGTATGGGTGGGCATGTGTGTATGTAGAGAGTGTTAGAAGCTGTTAACATTGTTATATACAAGTATCATTGCAATGCGTATTGCCTACAGTTATGTATATGCAGATTTTCTTCAAAGGATACCTGAACTGAAACGAGTCTTTCCCCCCCCTAAATACAGGAGGAGAAACCAGCAGAGTATCAGATACCTACTGGCTACTATGACCCAGACGGGCACCCAAAGCAGCGCGACCAGCGGAGCCTTCATCTCAAGACCAACGCCGGCGCTTCCCTGACTGTTGGGATTCCCTCCAAGAAGGAGGAGGGCTGGTGGCGGGTCAGTCTCCTTCCCTGCCCGCCCCTCTGGCACACGCCGGCCCCACAGCCGCGAAGTGGGGAGCTGTGGAAAAGCGTGGTCCCTACTCAGCGGAGGGCACAGCCCTTCCTGCTCCCGGGGGGCGCCTCCCCGCCGGCCATCAGAGGAGGCTCCCCTCCCTCCGGCCTCTTGCTTCTGCGCCAGCCGGGCTCGGCCCCGACGCGGTTACCTAGCAACCGTCCTCTCTCGCTCTCTCGCTCTCTCCCCCCCCCGACAGCCAATCACATTCTTCGGGCTCCTGCTGACCTCCTACCCGGAAACGGACAGCGCCGTCCAGCCTTTGATCTTCACCAGGCTTGGAGGAGGACGAGGTTTTTGGGTGTGTGAGAGCGCTCTCACACACCCGAAAACCTCGTCCTCGCAGCGGGTATATATATATACCCGCTGCGAGAGGAAGAGGGGCAATGGCAGGGAGGCCTCTCCTCCGCTACCAAAAAAGCCTCGCACACACTCTAGCGTTTTGAAGAAGATCTGTACCTGCAGGCGAATTTTTGAGTGACGGGTCTTCCTCGTTCCTCTCCTGTCGGAGGCTGGATGTCATCCTGCGGATCCTGGCTTTGGATGCCAGCACCTCTAAACCATGATACAGTTGCATCTCAAACAGTCTCCCAGGTTATTCGGCCAATTCATCCTTCTGCAGTTCTTTTGCCACAGAATTAGCCCTGGGGTGATCGGACCATAACAATCTGGACTTTTTGTTTCTCATGACATTTATTTATTTAATTTATACCCCGCTTATCTGGCCCACTGGACCACTCTAGGTGGCTATTTGTAGTCTATTTGTATTTCATGATATCTTGGCCTTTATTCATATGCCTTGGTACTTCTTGCCCTTTCAATCTAAGAAGTTCTTAGTATTCATTCATTCATTCATTCATTCATTCATTCATTCATTCATTCTATTTATACCCCGCCCCCTAGATAGCGTCTACTTGGGGCGGCTTACAAAATAATAAAATATCATTAAGTGACAATAAAACATCACAATCGAGATAAGCAACATTCATAGTCATAAAACCATCTGGCGAGAAAACCAATACTTACATTTTTAAATAGTAGACTGTGTTAAAGTCCATGATTCAATGTCACATAGAATGGACAACATGTAGCGTTGTTCAATGCACGTTTTAAAGGTTACTTTTAAGTGTCACATTATATAACATTCTTGATCTTGATGAAGGTGCTCCAGTCCAGGCCATCTTTGTGCTGACGTCTATTGTGTGGTTTCCAGTCATTCAACCAAATTCCAAACTACTACTGTCTACTGATAATCTCAGACTCCAATCTTCTTCAACAAATCCTCTACCTGAAAGTTAAAAAGCCTGGGATAACCAGAATTGGATTTATGTGTGGAAGGACTATGAGACCTGCTCAGTATAACAAACCAAATTCCTACACCCAGAATCTTTCATTTGTAGTGTGGCTTGTATGTCACCAGTCTTCTGATTGAAGAAAGGAATCTAATAGCATCTTAGACAGTGCTATTTATGTCATGGATTTGCTGACTGTTAGGAGCACAAAGTATATAAATCTGTTAGTCTCTATGGCCGCAATTCAGGGTACACATATGTCTGGGAGTAAGTCTCACAGCAGGTTGTAATTCAATACACCCATTTATTTAGGAATGGGTCCCGTTGAACTCAGTGGGGCTTACTTCTGAGTAGACATGCATACAATGGTTTCACAGGGTACCATGGGATTTATTTTGTTTGTGAGACCAGATTAAAACACAACTACTGCCCTGGTAATGGGAAATTGTTGTAGCATCTGAAGAAAAATCTTAAGTAGCAAGGTGGTGTGTATTTTGACATTTTTCTGGGTGGATTTAGACAAGGCTTTGGCATTGCCCTGTCATATCCACAGAATTTTACAGAGATTGACATGTTACAGTCTTTTGCTCATAGCTATCCTGTGCTATCGCCTGGCTTTTTTCATCTCTTTTTCTTCACCTCCCCAAAAAATGTATGTCAAGGAGGAAAAGGGGAAAGTGTGCTACAGTTTGATCTGTATGCTAAGCATTGCCAGTAGAGATACACCCCTTAGCCTAAGAGTCTGTTCACCTTGAGCTCAGCTTTCTTTGCACGATACTAGTACTGCATTCCAGTGTCCATACAATGCAAGGCTAAAACAAGTGTCAACAGGGTTTTTTACACCACCAGGATCTGAATATGGAGAAGAAGGGGCCAGAGTTGTGGAATTATTATGAGTCTGTTACTGAAGACTACTGAAGTGAAGAGGGATTGAAGGTCAGAATCCAACAGTGTACTTCAATATCCCATCAGAATTGATATTTTCTCCTCCTCCCCATCCTGCTGCAACTCTACCTGTGCCAAGAAACCAGCTTGGGGAGATTTTCCAGACCCCAGAACTGGTTTTTCGGATGCATGGGAAGATGCGGGGTGGGAAGATAGTCACCAGTTCTGGTGGAAGCAATGTGAATGAGTAGAACTAGACCACTGGATTCTGGCTTTAGTGTTGTAACATAACCTTGGAGATGTGTAGTGGTGCAAGCTGCTGTTTAAAATTGGTCAAATCTGTCCAGGCACATCCCTTTGTAAAGTGCAGGGAATGAATCACCATGGGAAGTAGGAAGTTAAAGAATGCATCATATTACATGACAATTTTCAATTTATTCTGAAAAAGTGGGAGGAGCATTGACCAATAAAGGCCTAGACATTATTTTCACTCAGGCAGGGTTGCAGAAAATAAGGTGTCTCTTCAAAGTCACAAAGGAAGAATATGAGGTCTGTGACTATCTGAGGACGGAGCAAACATGAGGTCTAAGGGGCATTCTTTGTTTTTCACTAGAAACTGAAGCTCCACTGATGAGAAGGAGATACAAAACTGTGTCTATATTTCAGACATGGAACTAAGAAACAAGCTGCCTCTGTGAATGCACTCACGTGGAACAAAGTTTTTCCACATATTCCTTTTCCCCCCTCTAAGTTTTTTTTAAACTTTTAGCAACATAATTTAGGAAAATAAAAATCATCGGATTTTTGCATTATTAAACTAATGTAGTCTTTAGTGATTTATTGCAAACCATCCAGAGAGCTACTAATTTTTGCTAAACTGCTTCTCCCTACCACGTCTTAAGATGCTAGGTATGGAAGGTACATGAAAACAATGAACTTTGGCTGCTTGTTGGAGTATTTAACCTATGCTCCACTTATGCTTAACCTGCATGTTATTGCAACTGTGTGCAAATATTATAAAAGGCTAATAAGAATCCAGTGACCTCTTTCTAAAATGAATAAATGTGAGTAAGTGCTATGCTGCCTTGTGGCGAAGGGGCTTGAGGGTCCCATCACCTCCTGGCAAATAGAACGGGAAGATATGGAGGCAGCAACAGATTTTACTTTCTGGGGCTCCATGATCACTGCAGATGGTGACAGCAGCCATGAAATTAAAAGGCCCCTGCTTCTTGGGAGGAAAGCAGTGACAAACCTAGACAACATCTTAAAAAGCAGAGACCTCACCTTGCCGACAAAGGTCCACATAGTCAAAGCTATGTTTTTTCCAGTAGCAATGTATGGAAGTGAGAGCTGGACAATAAAGAAGGATGACCACTGAAGAATTGATGCTTTGAATTGTGGTGCTGGAGGAGACTCTTGAGAGTCCCCTGGACTGCGAAGAGAACAAACCTATCCATTTTGAAGGAAATCAACCCTGAGTGCGCAGTGGAAGGATAGATCCTGAAGCTGAGGCTCCAATACAGTGGTGCTCCGCATGACAACGATAAAATCGCTGTTTAGCGAATCGTTGTCATGCAAAATCAGTTTCCCCATTGGAATGCATTGAAACCCGTTTAATGTGTTCCAATGGGGAAAAATACCTTGTCGTCCAGCGAAGATCGCCCATAGGGAAGCCATCAGCTGTAAAAATGGCTGCCCTGCAAAGCACAGGTCCGGAAAACACAGGGCAGCCATTTTGCGGAGCCAGAAATATCGTCGTCTTGCGAACAAACGGTTCGCGAAGCATGAACCTGATCGACGTCCAGGGAAAAGCCCCCATTGGAATGACTGTTTTGTGAATCGCTATAGCGATTGCAAAAAGTCGTCGTAATGTGGATTCGTCGTTAAGCGGGGTCATCGTCTTGTGAGGTACCACTGTACTTTGGCTATCTCATGAGGAGAGAAGACTCCCTGGAAAAGTCCCTGATGTTGGGAAAGAGTGAAGGCAAGAGGAGAAGGGGATGACAGAGGACGAGATTTATTTATATACTTATTTATTACACTTATATGCCGCCCATCTAGACATTGTCTACTATGGATGGCTCACAACAGAAAGAATAAAAACAGTTAATATAACAGTTTCTCAACAATATACGATGATAACAATAACTCAAGATGGGATGAAAAAATAAATTAAATAGTGCCTGGAGGGAAGACCTGTCTGAATAACCAGGCCTTATGTTGGTTTTTAAAGATGCCCAGCGAGGGATCCAAATGGATCTCAGAGGGGAGTTTGTTCCAAAAAAAAGGGGCCACTGCTGAGAAAGCCCAGTGTCTTGTTTTTGTTCTTTCCGGACCTCCCTTGGCATTAGGCCCCTCAATCGCCCCTCCTGACTAGATCGAGTGGTGCAAGTACATCTAGGTGGGAGGAGGTGCTTCGCCAAGTATCAAGGTCCTAAACCGTTTTAGGGCTTTGTATGTAATCATTAAAACTTTGTTTGGACAGTGTCACCAAAGCTACCAACATTAATTTGACCAAACTCCGGGAGGCAGTGGAAGACAGGAGGGCCTGGTGTGCTCTGGTCCATGGGGTCACGAAGAGTTGGACACGAGTTAACGACTAAACAACAAAAGTGCTATGCTTCTTTAATATCTTACTGTTGAGAAACATGGAGTAATCAAAACAATGTACAGTACTTTAATACTGTATTCACTTGTGTTAACCTTCCTGCAAAGATTTGATGTAATGGGTAAGAGCCTTTCTCTTCAACATTCTAGGTTTCTTTTTGGGGATTTGTTCTTGCTTTCTATATAAAAGCTTTTTAAAAATATATATATCATTTTCACCTGATTCACATTGGCCTTTGCATCATGTGACAAGTTTTAAAAATGTTTAAATTAAACCACTCTGCTTCCACAGCAAATCTGTACTATTTGCCAGTACAGCTACTGCCTTAATAAAGGTAGTCACAGCCTTGAGTTTGCAAGAGCTGAATCAGTGTGCAAACCTTTGAGAGGTCATACATCCGTAAATCTGAACCAACTTGACAGCGCAAAACAATATTAGGCAAGCGGAGAAAGTCTCTTGACTGATCTGTACTCAAATATTGGGCAAACAAATTGGGACAGACTAACCCTGTGTCTTTAAAGAGGCAGTATCACCCATTCTTCTGGAGTCCTTGATATTATCTGTCCTTTTCTGAACAAACCTGCAAGTGTGTGTATGTGTGTGAGGGGTGGGGCACCACATTGTCAGGGAAAAATAAAATAAAAGGAAACCAATGGTAGAGCTGTAGAAAAGTCCAAAGAATGGAGGTCACTGTTAGAGGAAGTCTTCCTTACATATGTAAGACCATGGTTCTTAAACTTCAGATATCTGTCTTCTAATGAACTGGCAATTTTTTTTCTCCACGATGCCAAAGGCCAGTGCCTGACTGACAACTTGCTTTTGCAATGCCCCTGCATTACTGCTTCTACTGACAGTTTCCAATCTTTATTTGACAAGAGAGGCTGGCTGCCCTGAGATAATTTGCAAATCAGCTGGTTCTAACACCAACTCTTTGAGAAACATGGAAGACACCCCTTCCCTATATATTTTCCAGTTTGAGAAACACTACATTTTGGCACTAAGGCCAGCAGGAAATGTTTGGTATAGCAGAAGTGCACCAAACCTGAAAAAAGGAAAATAGATTGTGAGGCTGGAAGAGGAAAGCCCAATAGATTAAAGAGATTGGTAGAGAGAGGACTGCTTTCTATGGCACTAGCACCAGCAATGGTTGGCATTTGCACAACCATCACAAAAACATATTTAACTGATTGATCCATTTGATTTTATGTCACCCCTTTACGAGTGAACACACTGGGTGGTTTAGGGAACGTGAGCAGGGTACACAGAACATAATGTCCTAACTGTGTGACTGATTGTGTGATCTATCCAGTCAAAGCCCACAGACTCAGTTCCCAGAGTATAATAATAAAATAATTTTCCTCTAGGAAAGTTCTAACTAATTCATAAACTGTGCAAGGTGGCAAATAAATAAATTGTTCCAGAACAGATCACAAGAATGGAACATTTTCAAATAAGCAAGATTTATTGGTCTGTGGTTGAAGGTAAGCAGCAGCTGCTTGCTTTGCTCCAACAACAATACAGCACAAACCTCTTCAGTTATTTTTTGCTCATTTGCCCAAGGACAGTGCACATCCAGGTGAGAAACAGATTCCTGTAAATGGGGAGTGGGGAACCTTCAGTTTCTAGGCTTGAGGTGGCTACAAACTTCTTTTATCAGTGATAACAGAGCAGAAGGTTTTGAAATCATGGAAGCTGTTGTAAGGAACTATACTCTTGTTTTACAGTCTAAGGTGCCTCTTACACTGAACTGAAATATGCTCCCAAGTAGTCATCCATAGAACTGAGGTATGCTTTGCATGTCTGAAAGATGTTGTTCTTGGATGTTTAGAAGGAGGCCTAAGGACATGTCTGGCAGGGATTGAAGTCAGAAATGTGGCTGCACCGGAAGCCTGAAGCCATGTTTGATCCATTAGTCTGAATTGCACAAAGAAGTGCAAACTACAGAACTGTAAATGTGAAAAACAGGCCCATGTTCATGGAATCTGCAAGCTCTTTGACTGTGAAAATCAAAAGTTCAGGGTAAAATGAATGTAATTATGACTAATTTGAAACAAGTTAGACCAGATATGCCACAAACACAACAAATATAATTTAGCACCTCAGATGGGGAAGGTTTATTGTACAGTTGCTTCAAAGGTAAGTGCAATAAAGTTCCATTATTTGAGATAAACACGCCTGTCCGATGGCTGTTGATATATCAATTCCCATTTTACAGATTTGTATGTTATTAACAAGCATTAACATCTCACACGCAGGATACCTGACCCTATTTAAATACAGTACTGTCATGTTTGATGGTTAAAACATAAGTACCAAAGAGAAAGCAATTATAACTGGAGAGTCATCCCTACTTTCTAGTTGCAGGGAGACAGGGCTTGCAAACAAACACACTTCGCATAATTCATCATATGTGCCACCACTAGCCACTCTTGACGCTGAGGTTTGTGCGCTGAAACACAGAAGCGGGCGGTGCTGTCCGTTTGCTTCGTGGAAAACGTAGAAAGTATGTCTTCTCCTATCCACTTTGCTTAGGCTCGCTCTGCGCCCTAATAGCCACAACTGCTGGAAGGGCAATTCATTGCGTAAGGTCTCGCGGCCGTGCTGTCAATGCGAAGGCGGCAAAATTGGGGGGGGGGGCTCCTCTCACACGACTTGCTTGGACAGCAGGTGCGCAGGGGAAATCGTTCCGAGTTGTCTCTCAGCAAGGGCTCCCCTCCCCCTCCCGCCAAAAAAGCAAGCTTTCTTCTTCAGCGTTTGGTAGGCAGGGATTAATTTAACACACGGCGGGGGGTTGGGGTGGGGGTCGCGGAATTCCCCCAAAGCCTTTCCTGAGCACGTAATTTAAGAAAGCCCGTGCCGTCTTTGAGCATGTGCAGAGTGCAAAACGTTTCCCAAATGAAATTCCCTCACGGAGAGTGCCTTTTTATTCACAATAACTGCTAAAGCTCGCAGATGAAACTAAGGCCGTCACGGTCCACACGGAAACCATGTATTTTCAGAAAGTACAGCACCCAGAAGCTCTAGGGAGAGGTGTGTGTGCTCACAGGGAAGCCCCCATTCCGTTCAGCGAGGAAGATTCCAGTGCAGGGATGCGGCCTGATGGTGCCACCCCGTTGCACGGGCTTGCAACCAAAGTGCATTAAGTTTGCAAGAGACGCGTGCCCGGTGCCCCGGCCGACTCAAGACGGCTTAACTCGGGGAAGTACAGCTTGCAGACCCGAGCAGGGTGCCCCACTCCCGTCTTCGCCCTTGGCTGCGCTCTCTTGCCGTCATTCCTAGGTTTCCCCCCTCGCCATCCCCGCCTAGCATTTTTCTCCGCGGAGCCTCCCGCGTCGTTGTCCCGCCTCCCCGCCTCGCCTGTCAAGGTACCAAGTCCCTTCCCCTCCTCTCGCCCGCCTGGCCCTTTAAACGTCTCCCCTCCCAGCCCATCGCCGCCGCTCAGCCGAGGCAGCGCAAGGGGCGGGACGCGTCGCTGAGCGGCGGCTGGCCGGGCCAACGGGCAGCCGGGAAGGAGGCGGGCGCTGCGGGGGTGTCTGTCGGGTTAGAGCGAGGCGTGACCCAGTTGACGCGCGCGGGGAGGAGAGGGGAGTGAGCGCGAGGCGGGGGGACGAAACCGCCGCGTCCGTCTTAGCCTCGCCGTTGCCGCCGCCGCCGGTTGCTCGCTCTCTCCTTCTCTCCCCTCCGCCACCGCCCGGTGTGTTGTCGCCGTCCGAGTCCTCGGAGCCGGGTCAGCAGCGTGCTTCTCCCGCCGCCTGTGAGCCTGGGGAACCTGCAGCTCAAAGCCTCCACCAGCCACAGCACCATGTACCCTGGGAACAAGCGGAAAAAGATCTGGAGGGAAGAGAAAGGTACCGTGTGCCTCCCCCCCTCAGTCTCTGTCCCTCTGTCTCCTCACCCCCCCCCACAACGCCCCGTTTGCACCTTGCTTTTGGCTCCCCTTCTCCGTAGGCAGGCAGGCAGGCGCCCGGGAGGGGGGGAATGTTTCAGGTTCACCCCTCCCGCTTCGGTCCACCTTCCGTCAGGATGTGTGCAAGAGGAGTGCAGAAAGATGCCGGGACTGCTGCTCCTCTCCACCACCACCCCCAGTGTCCGTCAGTGCACGAGTAACCAGCCTGCTTGCTTCTCTGTTCCTGGACAAAGTCTCCTTCCTGTTACCTCCGCCTTACCTTTGCCGGGGCACCAAGGCTCCTC